GATTGTTTCGCTATGTTAATAGAGCTTAAGAGGAGCAATAATCCAGAACTATACTGATCTTACCTATATGTGTCTCCATGTCACTGGGTAAATTTTGAAATTCATATGTCGTAATCGTACAACTATTCTTTATTCAGTAATTGTTTTTATGCCATATATATTGTTCTCTGCAGTTGTACAAGGTCGGGAACGTAAAAGGCTTCGTGGAACACATTACGAAGGAGACCACTAAGAATGTGGAGTTAATTTTGATACCTATAATCAATAATCAGCATTGGACACTGCTTGTTGGATCAATTAAAGATCGCAAATGGAGATATTATACGATTCATTACCCAACAAAATGCATTTGCATATAACTGATGTCATTGTAAGTAAACATTTTTATTAGCTTTATGATTGCTATGGTCTTCGTCATTCATTTATATATATATAATTGTGCAGATTAAATATTTTCTAAGCAATGTGGGGGAAGCATTTGAAGTTGATCTTAATAATTGACAAGTTTTAATGCCTAGAGGCATTCCGGTGCAAAGCAACAATTTTGACTGTGGTCTATTCATCTGTAAATATATGGAAATAATTGTCTAAAAGCAAAAATTTGAGTGGAAAGAATATTTGGACTGACAGGCATCCATGTCATTATTTAGAGCAGAAATAGGATACGAGATCACTAAATTTGCATTGTCGCAATGATACATCTATTTTTTATGTCACATAAAATGTTGTTGTTGAGCTGGACTGCGACAAAGGTATCCATTTGAAGTATGAGATAAAGAGCTTTGTTGTTCTTAAATCTTTTGTTGGTCAAGATTTAGTTATAGGATTTATGTGAATCATGCTTAAATAATATTTCTTCTTTAGGCAGTGTGTCCACCAGTGCTAAAAGGAAATCCTTGAATGGAATGGTAGAAGGAATGACAGTGTTAGATCTGATGCTAGTGGGATTAAAGCTACAGAGACCAGTAAGTAGAACATTTTTATAAAGTCATGTTATAAATAAAATAGTTTCTTTTATAGTTTATATTGCTTTTTTTGTCATTTATGTTGTTGTTTCATAGCAGGAGCTGCTTGATTAGCTGCATGTTTAATGTGTTTGATTAACGAATCCATCCGAGCTGAATCAGATTTTGGTTCCAATCTGAAGCAGATATAAGTTTGACCCATCCAAGCTGCATGTTTAATGTGCTTGATTAAGCAGATATCAGTTTTATGGTTGCAGTTTGTTTAAAGGACAATATTTGGACCCATCCAAGCTGCAGTTTTATGGTTGCAGTTTTAGCTTTGAATTTATGTGTATATCTTTATTATTTCTCTCTAATTTATTTCTCTCTAATTTCTCACAAAGAAGTTATGATTGTAATAGATGGTTAAGTAAATGTTGGGAGTGATTTCAATAATGGTATGAGATGACTCCCCTAGTGGTTGGTTTTGATTTCAATAGCTGATCAGGATGACAATCTGGACCCATACCACCTGTTGATAAAAGTGTTAAAATGATCCACATCTCTTGGGCTCAGCTGCAATTGCCAACATTAAAATGTGGGTTGAGATTTCAACTGTATTTGTGCTTAATTATTCATTGGGTCCTGGATGAAAGCTGCCAGTAAACTTATTAAGAATTATGTTGTTGGTAAAAATTGAATTTTTTGTGTTAGATATTAGCGTTACATGGAAGTTATGTGCATATTCCCCTCAAAAAGTGAATTCATATGTTTAAAACTAATCAATTTTTGGTATCCATTTGAAGTAAAAATTGAATTTTTCTAAAGTTATGTACATATTCCCCTCAAAAAGAGAAATCATATGTTTAAAACTAATCAAACTAATCAATTTTTGGTGTTGGATATGTAAAAATTGATTTTTTATAAAGTTATGTACCCTTACCAATCAAAATGTCATCAATGTCCAATGATAATTTCTTCATATATTCCTTCATGCGCTACTCAGCGTCTGGATTCCCCTTTGCTTTCCGGGTACATTGATATGCAACTTTCTACATGTGTGCTTCGAATAGTAGGTCGCCTTAAATATTATTTGAGGCTTGTGACTGCTGCAGATGCATGCATCTCGAACTGTTATAAACATCCCTCTTTGCATTTTCGGACCATCTCAATAGTAGATATATATTCGGTATTTTCTTAATGTGTAAAAAATTTAGTACTCGAAGAGAGTGTGCACAGTAGCCCCGTCATTTCGAACTTCCTGCAGCTGCACTGAATATTCATGCTCAAACTGTCAAAATGAACTGCCCAAATATTGTTTGTCTTATGATTATCCAAACTCTTGATGAAAAATTCAGTTTCATCTTCTATGGAGGCATGCAATTGAAGACCACATGATCCGTAAATAAACTCTTCTTCGAACATTGCATACAGCTTTCTGGAGTAAAATGCAGCTGCTTGCCTCAGTATTGGACTACTCTTCGTAATAGGAGTTCTGATAGATTGATCACACTTGAAATCCTCATCCTTCTTGTTGCGTCTCCATGTTCTCATTACATTTTAAATACCCAAAAAATAATCTGTAAGAGAACTTGTGGGCTTTAAGAAACCATGACAAATGTTATTGGTTGATTCGCTCCTTTGTGTAGATAAAATTCTCATTCCAAAAACATCTTTATTAAAAGCACTAAACCACTTGTGTATAATCTTGTACAAATCATTTAGCCACACATTGTCATGTAGATTTCCTGTCTCAATCATCAACTCCCATGTATTATCAAATTCCTCTTCGGACTCACATTTGCTCAAGTATTTATAAAAAATATCACTGACTCTTCTATTCACCACCCCGCAATGAACCTTTGTAGGTAATTTCTTGTATATGTGCCACTGACATAATCTATGTCGTGTATTTGGCAAAATCTCTGCAATTGCTCTAGCAATAGCCTGATCCTGATCTGTTTAGATTGTTATTGGATGATTATCACCCATGATACAGATGAAAGTTTTAAAAAGCCATTTAAGAGAGTCCACCGTCTCCTCTGACAAAAAACTTACTCCAAAGAGAACATTCTGCTAATTGTGGTTAGCACCAACAATAGGAACACAACATAAGTTATATTTATTTAGCCTATAGCTTGTATAAAAAATAATGACATCTCCGAAGCAGTCATAATTAAGTAAGTCTGGATTTTTCATCGCTAAAAAAAAAAACTCATTAGCCTGCCGCTCACATCAGTTTCAAAGTCCCATTCAAACATGTTATCCTCAAAACGTCTCTCTGCAAACAACTGCAGTAAAGTTTTGACATCACCATTTTCAATTCTAGATCTCTTCTCTCTTTGAATGAAATTGAAAGCATCTGCCTTTGTACATTCTGAGTTCTCTACACCCCCCCAACTTCTTGAGCTAGAAATTAAATGCGTCTTTCGACCTTATCCCAGACTGTGTCATAGTTCTAAGAACATCTGCATTTACTTCGCTTATCTTTCTGCTCAAACGCAACAAGTGTTTGTCACCAGGGTTCGCTAATGAGTGGTTGTGTGATTCAATTAATTTTTTAACTGCCCAATTGCATTCCTTATCAACTTCGTATCGAATCATTGCAGGGCAACCAGTTCTTATTTCTGCTCTTTTGTATTTGACAGTTTTTGTAATCTTGAGTTCTTTCTTGAAACCTGCTTTTCCACATACGAAGTCATTCATCCTAATATTTCTGGAGTTAGGCCAAAACGTAGCGTGCTCCTTCCGAACACTAAATCCAATATGATGAGCGTAAGCACAATATACTTCATAAGCTTATTTCTCATTGTGGATCATTGTTTGGAGTAATATGTTGGCTGTTTGCACGGTACAACTACCTTTGCTCTCGCTAAGCTGCACAAAAACAACCCTAGAATTTATAATAACTACATATAATAAATGAAAAGATAAAACCTACTATTTTACTTCACCTAAACCCTGGATTTAATTTTTTTTTAAAATATTTACATCAAACTTTACTTCACTGTTGTGTTAAACCTAATACCATGCAGTTATACCAGCATAAGTCAAAAAATAAGAAAGTCTTAACAACAAACAACATTGAATAACACACCTAAAAAGTATAATAAAAATACATGTCCAAACACACCTCCGATTTAAGTTCCACTTCATTTTCCCTGGTAGGATAACTCTCATCTTCTCCTTCAACATCATACACAAACTGACAATCTCTGGAATTGTACTCCATCTTCAAGTTCGCGAAGTCCAGCTGCTGGAAGCCGCCGTTGCAGAAGACAATGGGCATAGAACAATAGAACAGTAACCCTAGCTGCTTAAATACCGTGATTCCCGCGCTCCAATATGCGTAACTCGCTGTTACATCGCAGTTATATCAACATTACATGTGCATTTCCAGTGTACATGGACATTACAATCGGGTTACACGGACATTACATTCGGGTTACACGCATGGTACAGTCTCTAGGTTACACCAGTGTTATATGTAATGTACTTTCAGTGTACATCCTGGTGAGTCACCGCGAAGTTACAGGGATTTTACTTTGAAACTTACACCGGGGTTACATCCCGTGTACACGTGCAATCGGATGTTACACCGAATGTACAAAAAGAGTACACGTGGATTACAAGGGCGTTACCGCGGAACTTACACCGGGGTTACATCCTTTGTGACAGCGAATATTACACCGGGGTTATATAGGGCTTACAAGCGCGGTACATGGGGGTGACAGCGGAGATTACACCGGTGTTACATAGGGCTTACAAGCGCGTTACAGGGGTGGATAGCGGAGATTACATCGGGATTACATGGAGGTTACAATAACGGGTCGGGTCGACGGGTCACGCACAGTAAAAGGTATATTTGTATTACGTGAAACTGACGTGTCTTCCACTGATTGGCTGTCGCACCCAGCGCTGCTTGCCTCTTATGTATCCAAATTTTTTCCAGTCGGCGGAGGCCACATTGAAAATTTTTTCTTTATTTTGTCCAAAATGACGCCTGGCAAGATTTAGGTTAAATCCAGCTGCTCTAGATCCGTTGCCAGATAAATCTTGCTCTAGATCCGTTGCCAGACAGGAATTACCGGTCGATCGCCATTCTTTGTAGGGTTTACAATCAGCCGAGCCTTACCGTAAAGTTTTTCCATCAACAGAAGTACCGTGTTCCGTTGTTTTGCAAATTTGATATATCATCAGACGAGCATCTTGAGGCTTTAATAAGTTGCGCCCGCGCTCATGGCGCTTACCAATTTCATCCTTACAGTGGCGGCTGTAAGCGCTGCCGTCCTCCTCTTACGCAGCGACGTCAAGCAGTCGGCGGTTATTTTCCGGCGAAATATGCGCCACATCAGGAACTGGCTAGAGGAGGAATCTGCCTCGGCCGCCAAGTAAGCTTTATTATCCTCTTCATACGCATTGCTTTTTCTCGTTTCTCTGTTGGTATCCGTTTTACTGAAGCAAAAAACTGTGTTTTGCCACTCTTAGGGGAAGAATTTGATGGGTTTGGCTGTTGTTTTCTTGAGGGGACGAAGCAACTTCACTTTTGAGCTCGTGATACTGCCCTTGCGTGCTTAACCCTTGGAGAACTGGAAAATACTTGTTGTTCTTAGTTTTGGGCAAATAAATTTATTAAAGGGAAAAATAATAATAATAAAAACTTTTAGAATTGAAAGAATACAAAAAATAAATTTCAGGCCGAGCATTTGCCCACTTTTACATAAACATGTGTTTGTCCCTGATTATGCACAATAGCTTGCGTTTAGTCAAGTAACATTTATCACATGCAACTTTGATTTTTCTGTTTTGCATGATTACTTCTCATCTGGCACCACCATCCTTATTGATGATAAAAATGTGGATAAGTGATAGGATATATGTGAGAAGAGGAGCTCTACCTTTCAAGAAAGTTATAAATTCTCTCTCACCCTCTCTCTCTCTCTCTCACTCACTCACTCATGAGGTTTTGATGTTATGACCCTCAAGTTCATTTTGAATAGTGATTTGCACAATTATGTTGCCTTTTAAGATTGTTCAAATGTGTCACAATGGATGGTTCCAACTACATGTGAAGATAGTTGTAATTTCTACCTTAGGGGCAGCATGTAACAAATTTAACGTAAGATTTTGAGTAAGATTTAACTTAAATATTGTTAAATGGTTAAAAAGATGAAAATAAATCTTGCAAGTTTCTAAATCCCGATTTACCACCGTTTTGGCCTAAATATGGGATTTACTAAATCCTCTAACTTGGGAAACTTAAGTGATTTAGACAAATATGAGTTCTCCATGTGCCTGTTTTGCTTCTTTTTCTTCTATGGTTTTGGCTAGGAGTAGAAGGGTGAGAAAGGCGAGGGTTTTGAATATTGTAATCATGTTGATGTCTAGACTACTAAGCTTGCATCGTGACTTAGACACTTTATTTTTTTTTTTTTGGCTATTTTGCATAAAGAAAAGGGGGCAGGGAGAAGGGGTGAGGGAGGAGAGTGTTTTAGTTTGCTAAGGTAAATTTATAATTTAAAATTTTAAATTAATTTAATAATTAGGGCTAATTATCTAAAGAGATATTAAGTTAATCAAATTAAGGATTTGTATGATTAATTTTTCTTAGAATATTGTATGAATTATGTTGATTACATAATTATTTAGATGTTTAATTATATTTATGAATTTTTAAATGATTGTTTATTTTAATTAAAATTCAAAATTATTGATTAATTAATTAATTAATTAATATTTATATAACTAATTTATTATTACTTAGGTTAATGAAATTATAATTGTTGATTACTTAATTTGATAAATAACTTATTAATTATTAAGCAATCGTTGATTAATTGATGATTAATTACACAATTAAAATATTATGTTATCTTTATTGTAGTTTTGTTATTTAATTAATAATAAATTATTAAGTACTAATTAATTATTATAAAAAAACTGAATAGCAATAAAGTACTTTAATAAATTATTTGTTTATAAATAATATAATAAAAATGATAAAATATTCAATTAAATTGAACTAATTTCTTTAAAAACTAAACTAAAGAGTTTCACAAGATTTAATCATATTTAACATATGCATGCCAAATAGTTTATGAGATTTAACCACCTCTAGATTTACTAAATATGGATTTACAAGATTTATTAAATCTACTTGTGTTAAATCCCAGAAGTTGCCAAATAGCCTCTTATCTTTTTTATTTAATTTAATAAAATTTATAACTATTTCAATATCTGATGGCATAGATATGTAATTTTATAATAAAAAATCTCAGCTACATGTATTTTTTTAGAAAGACAATCTTAAAGTTGCAACATTATGAATTTTGCATTGGCAATATGATCTAGAGACCTTGTTTCTTACATATTTTTTTCCATTCACTTCTTGTCGGTTTCTTATCTACCTCAAGCTCATCCAGTAATATTTGAATCATGGATTACCAAAGGGACACCATAGCATATGCGACATTGTTATGGATACTTGGATCCTTAATATCCAAAAACAACCCCTTTACTCCATATTTCAAAGGCAAAGACTTCTACTTTGTCTACCTTCATCATTCCCCTTTTATCCTAACACTTAACGCACGAACAATCTCTTACTCCAGAGTTCAGAGGCAAGCACCTCCATTCATGTCAATGGCACATGACATGCTCAAGTGCACGCTTGGCACTACCAATGCAGTGTGGCATGACACATCAAAATGGCTCATATCGTTTGCGCCATGCATGGACAGTGACACATGGCACATTGCCTCTATGACACGCTAAGTTGATGTATATATATATATATATATATATATAATTTTTTTTTGAAAGCCCAAAAAGGCTAATATGTTAAATAGAAAGATACAGATACAATGTGTGGGAGAGCCCAAGCATGACACCCTGCCCACACAAAAACCACAAATAGTTCCAAAACTAGAAAAAAATAAAATAATACATTAGATACTTAAATAAAAAGCCTAACAACATCGTAATACATAGTATCAGGTGGCTAGAGAGCGACCCAATTTGGTCTTGCCTCTGCCTCTAGTCCTAGGGGCGGAGCAAGCTAATAAGCTGGTAAGATGATCGTCATTGCCAGTAGAAACCAACCAATATATCATCCAATATGTTCCCGAGCTGGAGTCGGTCTCCATTATTCTTCTTCCACTTAGAATAGACCTGTCATTTCTCATCCGAAGAATTAGTCTGATGGGGTGGTAGAGCTGAAACAGAAGGAATACCAACCGTAGTACCCACAATAAGTTCTACTATATGTGAAGTATGAGGTGTCTTTACACCAGATACTTCCTGAAGAAGTGGAGCTACGAGGTTCTCCTAATTATTAGTCTGGACACTATCATTTGTCAGCATCACATCACTCACAGTAACAGTAACAACAGTGTCAGGGGGAGTCCTGAGGGACAATAGATATCTCTTGTCTGGTAGTATCCTCTACAGATGGAACTAAAATGTCTAGAGAAGTGGGGTTCGACCCATCCTTATTCACTTGAACATTAAATTTCAAATTTGTATGAAACTTGTGGCATTTATCAAGGACATGACCAAACATCTTATAGTGGGTACAATATGGGGGTCTGTGCTCCATGACGATTTGTTGTCAATAACCATTATGGGTTGTGCCCAGCCAGACTTCAATAACATCAGGTAAAGTAATACTACAAGTATTCTGACCACCAAGGGTCTGGATCGGCTGAAAGTAGACAAATATAGTTAAAAGACCCTCTTTGATGACTCCAAAAGAATAGGGAACCTGATGGTGAAAAAAATGCAGCTTGAGACCAGGTAAGCTAAACCATACCGGTACAGTGGGAGTTTCAGGGAGTTTCATGATTTGATTTGGATCGAAATCAGGAGACCACTTGAGTAGTTTCATAGGTTTACCAGCGATGTTAAGATATTTTCTGGAGAAAATCCGAGTGTAGTCCTTAGACACGGTTAACTGAATCAATACATGTCTCCCATACATGAGCCTCACTTTTCACTTTTCACTTTCCACTTTCCTGTTAATTTGAGGTCATAAAAAATTTTCCTGATAATTTCTATAGATGGGTGTCCCTACTGAAATTTTCCAATAAGAGCAAATTTGAATTTGTCAGTCAGCGTTGAAATTTTTGACGTGGAGAAAAAAAGTGTTGTCTTCTCACTTTTTTTGCTTGCATTTTTAATAAAGGGACAGTCGCCTGTACCATCACGATGCTCCGTATAACTTGAAGGTAAGATAAACGTCGTCTCCTCCTGAGAATTACCCACCATGTGGGCAAAGGAGGAGGTTTTGTCAGGTTCAACTGAAGAAGGAGGCTCCATCACAGCAAAGAAAAGTCCTGCAAGTCGGTCAGAGGCAAAAAAGACAAGCTGAATAGCTGCGCAGGAACCGTAGATGAAATGCGCAGAAGACAAAAAACAGGGCACGAAGTCACAGCTCGGCAGAAACCACGGCTCGATCCGCGTAGAAAAGAACTGCAGAAGGCTAGCTGGAAGGCATGAAGGAGGAGACCACCAAACCACAGAATTAGACTTCGAAGCCCTTTGTCGTTTGGCGCGAGAAAGAAGATGACGATTCCTCATCGTCGTCGAGTGCGGGAAACAACGTCATCATCGTTGAGTGCGGGAAACCTCGCCGTCGAGTCAATCAAACCAGGGTTTCGCCATCGGGCACACATATATATATATATGATGATTATTTGGATGATGAGTTCAATCTCTTCTGAAAACATCTGATTTGAAAATAAAAGTATAATATTTTAAATTATCAAACATTAAGGTGCTGAGTACATGCACTTAAGAATTATTATTTTTTATTATCTTGATGTTTTACCTTTTCGTTTAATGGTTGTTTATAGTTAGCTGCATTTTATTTATAATAATTTAATAATTTGCACTATTGTGCCACGCCTTACGCTATATGCTATTACTTAAAAGGGAATTTTGCGCTAAGATGTGTCATTTGGCAGTGACAAGTATGGACAACTTTCATTTGACTACTCCCCATTACTTCCCCTCTCCTGGTTCTCCCAATACCTCTGTCCAAATAGAGTCCACATAGAATTTCTTCTGCCCTTACCCACCCTACTTTCTCTATAAGTGCTCCTTAGAGTTTGGTGGAGTTATCACAGTGAGTATTGCTACACTCTCCAAGAAAGCCTACACAAAAGTGCATTTGTGATCCACTTCCTTAGGTGGGACCTATAAAATTAGTGTGTTTCACACTTTTTCCTTGGGAGGCCAACCTAATCAAAAGTGTATGTGGCTTGTGCTTAAATGTTGTTTTTTTTTTCTATGTATTGTCATACTCTGGTAGAATGCTTCATGCGCGTGCCTATCTTTAACCATAATTTGCTTAAGTTCTCCTCTTCCGTTTATTTGATCTCTTTTAACATGA